CACTAACATTTCAGTCAAATCGTCCGCGTTCAGATCCACGGGGCCCCTGTCCACTTCGTCTTTCAATTCCAGTCGCAAGTTCTCATCCTACGTACTTCCACAGTATTCCGTTGTCCTATGTCATATTGGATCGCCTGATGGGTATATCCTTCGTACACTCTCCAATTCATGTTTACCACCAGCGACAGACTGCAGAAAATGACGTCGATAATGGATTCCCCACCATCTCTGTGAAAAGTGCTGCTGGTGCCTTCGCTAGACAGCCTTACTTCCAGCTTTGCCATAGCTTCCAGCAGGCTATGTCCTCTTTCGTTGAACATCTGCTTCCTCACTGCACTTCCTAAGCATTGAAGTCTTCTCCGATGACTACCGGTCTTCGTCCGATCAGCTCTTCGGTAAGTCCATCCAGAATCTCGTGGAACTGCTCCATCGAACACCTGGGGGTGCGTAGCAACTGCAAATGAAGGCGATCATGAAACCTTCGTATGAGCTTGCAATCACTTCTTGAATGGGGTATCTGCCCATAACTTGCCCCCATTGCAGCCATCCCAGCTTTATACTCCATCCAGGTACCGTTATCGGGCAGGACTCGTTACGTTTCCGCAATGATTGGAACATCGCACTTTGTTTCTGTTGTCGACTGCCAAAACAGTTACTGTGCAGTGTCGCAATGATTGAGGTTTATTTGGGTTACCTCCATTACATTACTGTTGGCCTGCCATCGCCTTTTTGTATGCTAGGCATTTGAAGCCTCCCGTCGTATAATCGTTTCCGTCCTCTTTTTTTGCAGAGCATACACCTCGGTTGCTTCGTGCAGCATTTTGTCGAAACCCATGCACTCGAAGCATCGCTCCAGTTACTTGGTAACCCGAGGAGTGGCTTTCAATGAGCACACTGACCACCCAACCTTGACCTTGCCTATCGTCAACAGCTTGTTCGCTGCAACTATCAAAAGCCGTATCACCGCTGTTTGCATGCCGGCGCTTCATCATCCGGATTAACATCGGGACATCTCCCAGATCATAGTGCACCTTCAATGCACTTCTCAGCTTCTATTCTGTAGTGATCTCGTTCAGATCCGTGCACTCGTCTAAAACGGCCATTCGAGGTTACTCTGCTCAAGCTCAAGGGCGTAGCCAGCTTTCGAGCTAGGGAGGGGCGAAAAAAAATTTAGTATGGAAAATTTGGCCGAATGCCATTTCACCGAAAGCTTTTGTGAACCCCCCCCCCCTGCCCCCCTTTGGATACGCCTATGTCAGCTGGTCTACAATAGTATCATCAAATGGATAATGGTTCTCATACACACTTCCAGATTCAAAAACAATGTTCTTGAACCCGGCGCGTATTTAGTTGTTGAACGAAATGAGCATGAAAACTTTGTGTATGCTAGGAATGCTTTAACCAAGCTCTGCGATATGATGACCATTATCTGCTTGACGACGTCTGGCCCTTTTAAATATCTTGAGCCATAAATTCCCGGAAAGTCTTTGAGCTGTGCCTGGAACAAGTTTCAATTTTTTTATGGAGTCAATTGATTCAACAGTACAACTAAAACTACACGTAAAACGAAAAAGCAGAGCAAAATTCACGGAAGAAAAAAATATTTGTGTCCAACTTTGTCCAAAGCACACTTGCCGAAAATGATATGAAGAGTTGGTATATTCAGAAAATATTATCAGAAGCAACTTTGCAGATGATGCTACCTATCTATTTGTAAAGGCATAGTCAGCAGTTTTAAGACGTCCTCCGGCCAGCGATATTAAGAAAATAAAGAAATTAATTTGAGACTTTTCAGGCCTAGCATACATAAGGGCCTATTTTCTCGAAGTTTAAAAAAAATATCAATGGTTCCACGGCAAAGTTCAAGTTATCCATCAGGGATGGATTATTCACCTCAGAGCAGAAAAAGAGAAAAGTAAAATTCCAACTTCACTCACTTTTTCGACTTTCCTTTTTAAAACTGAGGACGGCTGTTGGTATGGCCTCTTCAATGTGCAAAAAACTGAGGAATTCAAATGGTGTTCCTCTTTGAGAAACTGTTTGGCTTGATTAAATCCATTGATGGGATGAGTTAAGGAATGCATGCTTCTTATTTGGTTTTTATCGAAGTGTTCCAGTATGCGTCACTGGACTAACTGGATAGGTACGCGCCTTTGGATCCCAAAGTCCTTGGTTCGAATCCTGGTTGTAACTTTTTCTATTTGTCTTTTGTTACTTTTCTACTTGATTCGTCACCTGGAGCAAATACAAAAGCTTCTTATTTCCCAAGTAACCAAAAGTTCTGCATTCAACGATAAAACTCACTTCCAAGTTCCATAAATTTCAAATAAAGTTCCGACAGAACTTTCAAGTTCCATAAAGTTCAAATAAAGTACCAACAGAACTTTCAAGTTCCATAAAGTTCAAATAAAGTTCCGACAGAACTTTCTTCCCAAGCTACCAAATGTTCCGCATTCCACGATAAAACCCACTTTCAAGTTCCATAAAGTGTATATAAAGTTCCAACACAACTTTCTGGCTACTTTAGAAGCTATAGAAAGCACACAAAAAAAAGTTCCAAAAAGCATCCCCAAGCACTTCTTAGGAACTTCAGGCAAGGCTGAAAACATGACCACAACAAAGTTCCCAACAAGTTCCCTGCGGAACATCTTAGCAACTTGAAAGTTTCTAAAAAGGTTATTAGTAACAAAATTTAATGTACGTAAATATGAAATGATCAGTGGCTCAAATAAATCATAATTCTTATATTTATGCAGTGCTTCAATATTCTGGATTTCCTGGATTCGAACACGTGTATTCGGCATACGATCTACGAACGCTAACCACTGCGCCACTAGTGTGTTGGAATACCATACGGGCAAACACCAATTTAAAATTCATCCATGTGTTGTGTTTCGTATTCAAGGCAGTCAGCTGTCACTGAAAACTCCAACAGTAGGCGGGACAACAGCTCACTTTGATAAATCGCAGATGACGTAGCGGTTCGTGCTGGGTTTAATTCTTCAAACAGCTCCAATACTATTACGAATGCTGATAAATCAATAAATGTTTATACCTACCTTTGGAAATAACTTTCATAAAAACTTGACTTTAGAATTAACTTTCATAAAAGTGCGAACTAAATTTAAAATTAGTGCACAGTAACCTTTTTTTAACTTATTTTCTAAAAGTTCCGTTCAAGTTCCGGCAGAAGCTGCTTAGAATGCTCTTCAATTATGGTACCCGAACTTTAAAGTTCTTATAACGACTTAAAAATGAGGCTGCTTAGAATTCTATAGACTACCTTCGACCAAGCTGCTTAAACCACAAATAGCCTTTTATCAGAAAGTTTGGTTACTTGGGTTAAGGTGATTCCTTGTAGAGTCCACAAATAACCGCCACATAGGCTATACATGCTATTTCACTTCGAATTTTCAATTACACAAATCTCGGAAATCGGTGCCCCATTTCACTTGAAATTGCTACTTCATGTATGCTGATATGTCTGATATTTATGCACTTAAAGTTTCGAAGTGGTTACGAGAATAAGGATGTCACAGCGATTCACCTTAAATAGCACATTGAAAAAAGTAACTATTACACTCAAAAAATTCCACACTTTTGATCGAAATGTTTTGATTTTTTATATGCCCAATCACATTTACTTTAAGCGTATTTCACATAGGTTCAATGTGTTATACACGTTAATTTATAGTGATTAAAACTTTGAAATGTTTAAAATCTTTCACTATCTATTAAACTTAGTGTTCTAGATGCACTTCCACAGTTATTAATTGAGAGCTTTTCGATGCCTGTACCATTTTTGCATTGGTATAATTGTGTGGCAAGTCCAATCATACTTCTATGCCCAGGGAAGTCGAGAAATTTTCCAACCCGAAAATTCCTAGACCGGACCGGGAATCGAACCCAGCCACCCCAGCTGCGCCTTTACCGACTGAGCTAAGGGAGGCCCCATCTATACAAGTGCACATTGAATCACACTACTGTTCAAAACAGATGGATTTAAAGTGTTTTGCATTTCAATGCGATGTGAATTGTTTTTCCAGAAAGTTAAACATCGTAAACAAGTCTTGTGACTTTATCTTATCAACCCGCCTCATATATGAGAACAACCGTGGCACTGTGAGATCGAACGAAGACTCCGGCAGCAGCACACCTCAACAATCCATGATCGAATCCCAAATCAAACCCATTAAAAAGATATGTGAAAGCTCTGGTCTCTGGCAGTTTTGTTCATATATTTTTCGATTCATTTTTAGAGTCAGTAAAGTAGAAGTCAATAAAGTAGAATATTGTAGAATATTGAACTATGATGTGCAAAGCCATCACCAAATGAGGCACATAGAATCCAAATGTGTCACAAATCAAATCCATAGTGTTCAGGCATGATTCATAGCATAAGATACACACATGAAATGGATGTGTTTCACAATAAGCGCAAAATTAGGTGTGTGACACATGATGATGACGTGCGGAATTTTTTGAGTGTATCGAAGCACACCACTCTTTCTCCGTTTCGTTTTGTGTTTGCCTCAATGTGTTTTCATAAAGTTGTGCAATCGTTCTCCGCAATGTGATATGCTGTAAAGTTTGCTCTTCACCACTTCATTCGAGTAGTTATGCCACGGATACACATGTGTGACAAACTATGAGCATGATCCTTATTTGTATAATAAAACTCACGCTCATCCATGGTCACACTTGTATAGTTTTTGAATAACTGTTGTATAGTGCTCATTCATACAAATAATGCGCATGTTCATAGTTTATCATACAAGTGTATCCGCGGCTTTAAAATGACTTTTCCTACCACTCGAAGCTCGAAATAATACAATATATTGAGTTTTTTTTTCTTCTGGAACCACGAGTATTTCGATCCTAAGAAAGAGCATTTGAAATAATATCAAAACGACGTCATTTTGGTTTGCTATAACTTATAACTTTTTTTTATTGTCTTTGTTCTGGAAACGGAGTAAAGTATCCACGATGAGGATAAAATGTCTACATTTTTTTTCCTAATGATTTTTCTTTTCTGGGGCCTTAGCAGCTGGCTGAGGGTTCTTGATGTTGGAGCTGCGCGGAGTTGTCGCTGGCCTCACTGCGGCAGCGTTAGACTTGACCGTTGCCTTGTTGGGTTGGGTTGGTCCATTCTTAGATGGATGGCTAGCAGCGGCGGCTGGATGAGCAGCAGCAGTTTGAGTGTCACGCTTGTGAATGGGTTTCACGGACTGTTGGCCATTGGTAGCAGTAGCGGTGTGGGATCCCTGAGTTGGTCCGTTCTTCGTTTGTTTTGCAACTGGATGACTATCAGTGGCGGCAGCTGGATGAGTGGCAACGTTCTGAGTGTCACGCTTGGGTACGGATTTGACTGATTGTGGCCCACTGGTGGTTGGAGTGGCACGAGATCCCTGAGTTGGTCCATTCTTCGTTGGCTGTGCGGATGCATGGCTGGCTACGGCAGCTGGGTGAGCAGGAGCAGTTTGAGTGTCACGCTTGTGAATAGGTTTCACGGACTGTTGGCCATTGGTAGCAGGAGCGGTGTGGGATCCCTGAGTTTGTCCATTCTTCGTTTGTTTTGCTGCTGGATGACTATCAGTGGTGGCAGCTGGATGAGTGGCAACGTTCTGAGTGTCACGCTTGGGGACGGATTTGACTGATTGTGGCCCACTGGTGGTTGGAGTGGCACGAGATCCCTGAGCTGGTCCATTCTTAGTTGGTTGTGCGGATGCATGGCTGGCTACGGCAGCTGGGTGAGCAGGAGCAGTTTGAGTGTCACGCTTGTGAATAGGTTTCACGGACTGTTGGCCATTGGTAGCAGTAGTGGTGTGGGATCCCTGAGTTGGTCCGTTCTTCGTTTGTTTTGCAACTGGATGACTATCAGTGGCGACCGCTGGATGAGTGGCAACGTTCTGAGTGTCACGCTTGGGTACGGATTTGACTGATTGTGGCCCACTGGTGGTTGGAGTGGCACGAGATCCCTGAGCTGGTCCATTCTTCGTTGGTTGTGCGGATGCATGGCTGGCTACGGCAGCTGGGTGAGCAGGAGCAGTTTGAGTGTCACGCTTGTGAATGGGTTTCACCGACTGCTGGCCATTGGTAGCAGTAGTGGTGTGGGATCCCTGAGTTGGTCCGTTCTTCGTTTGTTTTGCAACTGGATGACTATCAGTGGCGACCGCTGGATGAGTGGCAACGTTCTGAGTGTCACGCTTGGGTACGGATTTGACTGATTGTTGCCCACTGGTGGTTGGAGTGGCGCGAGATCCCTGAGCTGGTCCATTCTTGATTGGTTGCGCAGATGGATGGCTGGTCGCCACGGCTGGGTGAGCAGGAACAGTTTGAGTGTCACGCTTGTGAGTGGATTTGATTGGTTGCTGACCGTTGATGGCGGTATGGGATTCTTGGGTTGGTCCATTCTTCGGCAATTGAGCAGCTGGATGACTGGCAGCGGCAGCGGCTGGGTGAGCGTGGACGGTTTCAGTGTCGCGCTTGTGTACAGATTTCACAGGTTGTTGCCCATGGGTAGCGGGGAAGGTGTGCAATGCCTGAGTTGGTCCATTGGTGATATGTTGCTCTGATGGGTGGCTCGAAGAAATTGCTGGGTGAGTGGGAGTAGATTCAGTATCACGCTTGTGTGCGGATTTGATTGGCTGCTGACCGTTGGTGGCGGTATGGGATTCTTGGGTTGGTCCATTCTTCGGCAATTGAGCAGCTGGATGACTGCCGGTGGTGGAAGCAGAGTGAGCGGGAACGGTTTGTGTGTCACGTTTGTGAACCTGTTTGCTTGGATGTTCGCCATTGAGGGTGGTGGTGGTCTTTGGCTGCTGAGCGGGATGCTCCTGAGACTGCGTTACTGGTTTAACTTGCGCATTGAATGCGCTGGGCTTCGATCCAGTGTTAACGGGAGCATGTTGATCAACCGGAATGGCAACAACACACGATGCGATGAATAGAAGACAAACCTGTGTATTGAAACATCATGAATAAACCACCGAAAGCATAATTTGGCACGGGTGTTATGTATTCATACTTACAATTTTCTGCATAATGGAAACGTTGCTAATTCCTTGGATGCTACCGAAGAACTATGTCGATGTGAAGAGAAATTGCGATTTATATAGAAGAAGCTGAATGAAAAACCAGTTTTCAATTGTCGCGGGAAGCGATTGATTCGTAAATATCGTGTCATATGGAAGTATGGGTGATTTGGGGGTATTTTCCGAATCTTGTTTATTTCAAATTTTGAGTAAATGTTAACACAACTATGTTAATTAGAAAGGAATAAAATGGGCTGGCTTTAGGCGATTGGCTGCTCAAATGCAAATACAATCAAATATTTGCTAAACAAAGCCTTACTTTTGGAGGTACAATCACACTTGGGTGCTCTAGTTTATTTTTTTTATTATGGCTTCAAACGCACAATATGAATCATAGCTCCACATATGACCTAAACATGGTTTAGCGCTATTCCAAGAACGGAGTTAGCCTGGAGTAGATTAATTAAGAATCTCGCCGAAAAATTCTGTAATGCGTGATGTGCACTGCTGTACAAGATGTCCGTAGAAAAACACAATATATGAATGAAAGTTATAAAATCGGGTATTAGTGTAATGTTGTAACAGTGGAACTGGTCCGAGAAATTTCTCGGGAACTGGTGATCATAATATTATTCAATACTGACTTTTTATTTATTTATTACTATATATCTCTACAATATACTGCAATAATTTAAAAGTAATTGATTAAGAAAATTCATTATTTATTCCAAGTCACTAAGAGTTTTTTAGTCAGAGATGGGCACCACCGAGCAAAAACAAATTTTCCGGGTATATTGGCAATCTTACTGATATTCAGAGCAAACACAAATGACTGAATTTCGGCTTTTTTGTTTTAATTGGGCTTGAAAAGTTTTAAATAAGTATGTACAAAAAAAAAATACAATATCAGATTACTTTTAACTTATGCAGTATCTTACCGTTTTTGACAACATGACCACATTATCTATTTATTTCTTCTAATTTGTGCTAGTGCTTTCAGTACAATTTTTAATGAAATACGGAGCATCTCTAATCTTTAAAGAAGGATCTAGGAGAATCACAAATTGAATAACGCTTTCGATGGTTTTTTCTAGATAGTAAAGATGTAAAAAAGCATGTGTGGCCAAAAACGGGAAGGTACTTTATATTTATTTGTATTTGTAGTATTTGTTATAATACATCTGAGGCCGGTAGGGCAAAGCTGCTCTATGTTCTTTGGTTAGGATCAAATGCCATCAATTATGCAACAATTAAAAAAACAGAACATCCGGAATAACCACGATATTTAAAAAAAAGCACACAACCTAGCAATCTTCTCCAAAAATTTTAACCTGGGAAATGGTATCGGCATGGTATCTTGTCCGACTGATAATGTGTAAAAAAATAATCATTTTCATTCAACACTCCGAACACGAAGCCTTCGGTAAATTGTGTAACGGCAAACTTGCAAGGTTTGAAAAATCATAGCTCAACCATTTATTGACGAATTTCAAATCTATTGGTGTCATTTAAAATTAAATACTTATTTGGTATCAATAGATTGAAAATCTACCGATAAATTGCTGGGCAATGATTTTTCAAACATTGCCAATTTTCCGTTACACATTTTACTGAAGGCATCTTGTTCGGAGTGTTCAAAAACATAGAACACTCGAAAACTTACATTAATCCGTTGGATTCGATTTCATCTTCCGGACGTTCTTAACGTTGCTCCTTAGGACGTTTTGGTGTGTGGGGGTCATGTATATATTATATCACGCTCTAAAGGGGGAGGGTGTAAAATTTCGTGACAAACAATGCATTAGGTATAGGAAAAACGTGGCGAATGAGGGAAGAGAGGGTTAGTTTTTCCTCAATTTAGCGTGACATACATAATTTATGCACTGCCCCGTGTTTCTGCCGCACATCGAAATCCAACAATCCACAAGGAAATCTAGTTCCACAAAATACGAGCTGCTCTTTACCAAGAAGGGTGAAATCAGCCGTGCATATTGATGGAATCCAGCAATGGATGGGGTCAACGCCGAAATCACAGTAAATATATTTGATGATTTCAGTAATATCTCTGTATGCTAGTATACTAAGCGTTCCTTTGTAAAATTTCGGTACCTTCGGATAGTCTCTGAAATTTGGCGAAATTGTGGCAATGAGATTGATCCGAAATAATATTTGCACAGCGATTCACACAAATAAAAAATTAAGAAAAATTTCATGATTTTGAAGATAGCTATCTATAAGGGATTGTTGTCAAATAGTCAAGGAATCGAATCACGGTTATGAACAAAAGTTTGATGATACGATAAACAAGATACATTAATTTTAAACCTAAGTTTGTACTCTTGCCCCACTTTACCCTAAGGAATATCAGCTATAGAGCCGTTGCAGGCCAAATGACCATTTTTTTTGCTATTTGGTCTAGAACTGTGTTACCGTTGGGACATAATATCCCTTGTTTGTCAGTCAAAAAGTAGTTCATTTGTAAAACTTTTATTGTTGCTAAATGTTTATTGTTTATTTATTTGCATATTGAATATTATATACAACTATATTAAATAATTCGTAAATAATAGCCTAGCTAGGATTAAAATAATTACATGCACACTCAAGAAAAATCGTACCCACAAACACACATACCATTGCTGTAAGTCAAACAATAAAAATGTGTTTAACCGTAGTTCGCGTTTTGTAGCTTTTTATCTGGTGACTGGACCTTTGTTAAGCTTGATAAAAGCCGACCCTGAGCGCAAAAGAGCCTTAAGCTCGAGCTTGCCGGGAGCACTCAAAAGAGGCCTTGAGAGCCCACCTTCAATGCTCCCCGTGGCTAGACCAGGGATCGAGGGCATTGTAGGAGGGTCTTGTCTGAATACCAAATAACCAATAGTTTCTAGCTCGTGGGCAAGCTTTGAATCTCTCGGACTTTAAACTAAAATCATTATTAAAGCTAAGCTAACGTTAATCTTGGGAAGCTAACGTAGATTCTGATACTTACACCATTTTTCAAGTGGAAAATTCTTCGAGACAAGAATAACAAAAAAATTCAGATTTTAAAACTTCGGATTATATTTTAATTTTCTTCAGATTTTTAAGATTCCTACCAGATTTCGAATAAAGCATTTATATAGGTTTTTTTTCTATGCCTCGTACTTACAATCTTTCAAGATCACGGAGTTAGATATAAAATCAAGATTACAGTCCGAAATTTAACACATACATAAAAGAACGGAAGTTTCATTTAATGTTCTAAACCATCCACACTACCCTGGAGCGTTAATTCTTAACAAAATAGACAAATCACGAATCTTCCCTATAGAAAAGGTACAAACATTTCCATAAAATCTAGATTCATGATTCAAGATTCCCTCAGTTTCTATGAGCTAGAGTACTTTTGAATACTTTCTTATCAACCTGCATTCTTGGTATATAAGAGTATATAAGAGTTACATTTGTATTTTCTAACAGATGGAGATCTTCAGAACTTGATCAACCAGAAGTCTTGAAAAAATATCGAAAGAACTTTACTAATATCTTCGTCTATCTGGAGATCTTTCGAATATTACCTGCTGTTTAGGAAGCATGTCTGAAAGAATATCCTGTAACCTTGGCAACGTTCCCTCAACCAGGGGTTGAAACTGTTGACGTTTTTTACTACACTCGCTTCGTTGTCCTGCGTGACAGTCTATTTGTTTTCGTGCTCTACCGTCGTCTCTCTTATACAACGCAAACGTTAGAACAACATTCGAGCCAAAAGAAAATTTTTTATAAATGTTTTATACAGCTTCTCAAAATGCTACGAAATTCACAAAACCTGTTACAAAAATTGCTGCACAAAATAATAACATAATCCACATATAAGTATCCTCCTATGAAAGCAGTGGATAGTTCAGTCCATGCAGAAATATATCCATGAAATGATAATGAAATCACTATACATTCTATGGTCGACAGTTAACCCAATTATATTAAACTACATCGGTCAAATGATCATAGGATTGAAGTCTTTTTTACACGGTTTTTAGCGATTTACACGGTACGTTTTTAACGATTTCTCGACAACTATACAACCTATCGACTTGATTTCAATCACATTATCCGTTTCAAGCTATAGGTAATCGAATGGCATACTTTATAAAAAATCACAATTTTTGTTGTAAATACAGAATTTTTTTAAATATGTCTATATAGACCATAGCATGCTATAATTACAAATGGCATCAAAATCCGATTTTTAAAAAACATTTAAACATTTTTTTTTTCCTTTGGTTTGTTTTTTCCGTCGATCTTGTTTTCCGTGCTGAGCACCAATGCTACCGACGTGCCAGGAAGGCAGCTCCTACACCTGGACCCTACCTATCGACCCATCAGCTCATGAACCGGGGACCAACGGCTTTACTTCCCATCCGAAGGAAGGCGTGATCAGAGATGTTATGCCTCAGAACATCCCGGCGGCGCCGACTGGGATTGAACCCAGGCCTGCTGGGGTGAGAGGTAATTACGCTTACCACTACACCACCGGCGCCGTTAAAACATTTAAACATGTGAAAAATCAAAATCTTGTAGGTTTTTTTTTTACACGGTACGTATCCCCCGTGTAAAAAAAGACCTGAGTGTATCTCAATTGGTTTTCCACACACTATCTGTGCCACAGACTGTGGGTTTACAATATATTTATGTATTATCGTAAATTGCAACAAAATACATTAAACTCTCTAAAGAGACTCTAAACAATAAATTGTTGCTGCAAAACAGCTTATACAGCCAAATATTACTGTATACAGTTAAACACAAGCATAATGTGCTTCTAAACAGCCAAAGTCACCGGTTAGGATTTAATTGATGGTGAAAATGGATTTTCAATACTTAAGATATTTAGCGGCGCCGGTAGTGTAGTGGTAAGCATGATTGTCTCTCACCCCAAAAGGCCTGGGTTCAATACTCCTCACCATTCCTCTCCAACTGGGAAGTTTGGTATAGAGAGATGATCATCCCGATTCGTACCTTCCTCAAAGTTGTCCTTGCTCGCTTTCTACTCTCTATATACAATTTTCACACTGCCGTA